GGAATCACAAAAGACACACACACATAAGCCATCAGTTTTCTTACTGTCACATGAACAGGGAACAAGCCTGTTCCAGCCACAGAAAACTCAGATTAGGTGATCTGAGATTAGTGGGTGGTGTTAGTGCTGTGGTATCAAACCTCCAAGCCCAGGGATGAAGCAGAGGGAGAGGCAGCTGGTATCACTCAAGGAGCTTGAGCACCAGAAGGAGCATGGCTGTGTTAGATCAACAGGCCCCCTAGGCAAGCTGCCTGGTTATCAGTGGGTGCTGTGTCAACATAGCCTTTCTGATAACTGCACACTGCCATAGGTGGACCTTGCCAGGCTAAGGTTGGGATCCCTAAAATCTAGATTTTTGAGCAGGGAGCTGTTTAGACTGACCAGCAGAAAAGAAGCCTCGTCAAGGAAGTGAGGGAGGAAAGGTTTCTGTTCAGGGCTTGCAGCTGTGAAAGATGGTTATGAGGTGCAGGCTGAGGCTGCCTCAGCATCTCCCCACTTCAAACTAGCAAGCAAACAACATAGGCAAACAAATATTGGCGAGGCTATCAGTGTAGCTCTGAGGGGATTTTCGTTTCCCTCAATCCTACCAAACAACGTGAGAAGGAGACACTCTACCACTGGTAGACACTCTCCCAGAAGACAGGGCTGAAGTTCCTCATTGATTTAATATTGAATCTGTTTTTGCAATAAGAACCATTTCATCAGTGGGAATTCAGTGTGCCTCCAGGTGGTGCAGGTGAGGGTAATGCCTGCTTGTGAGTTCTGTAGGGGGTTTACCACTGCACAGATGCTGAGTAGGTTTGTGGGGTGGTCCAGCCCACACTTGTTCTGTGCAATACCAACAGTCAGACTAAAGCTTTTTAGATTCTCAGCACCTAAATTTCAGGTCAAGGAACCTTCAGTGCCAGAGAGCTAAGTCTCATCTGAAAATCTATTTCGTGGTTTCCAATTACAACGTTTACAACTGTTATGCATGCATTCATTATCTGTTAGTTTATGCTCAGCTACTCAGCTATTATTCTAGCTGTATTTGATAGAAAATGCCAGAGGGCCAGATGGTTAAATAGTGTAAATTAACCAATTCCACTGATGTCAACTGATTTTCATAAGCAGAGATTCCAGGCCCCTTGAGTTCACATGTCTATATTCACACACCTGGTTTTGTTCAATAAAAAAACAGTGTGATGTATTTACAAACTAATGGAAACATGCAAGTCGCAGCAGTGCTTCAATTGTGATGTTTCAAATTTTGATTGTAAAGTAAGTTTCAGAGCCATGGGACTTATCCTGACCTGCTATTTGAGTTATCTTACAGTTTACAGGTAAGCGAGGCTGTGCTTGTTTCAGTGCTATCAGAGCTTCCCAAACATTTTAGATGACCAGGAACTGCTATGTTAGGTTTGATGTGAGTTGGGTTTCAATTGATTTAAAATGTGGACTACTAAATTTGGACTTTAAACGTGGATTACTAAGAAGGAGCTTGGATAGAGGTGATGTGAATTCAGTTTAAACTCAGGTTCAGATAGAATTTCACTGGGGTCAGATCCCTGATATAGCTGGGAGCAGTAAAATGCAAAAACATTGAATAATCTGACTCAGTCAGATTAGAGTTGAAGGAAAAAATTACATAAAGCTCTGGGAAACCAAAACACATATTTTTTTAGCAGTACTGAAATGAAAGAATGAAGAACGAAGAATGAATGAATGCACCCATAAAAATGTAAACAGGATGATCTATTTCTATGGGTGAGATTGTGGCATGTTTTGAAGCACAGCAGCATGAGGAAGCGATTCTGGAAATAAGAAAACAAAACCCCTAATTCAAAGCAAGAATCACTAGCAAAAGATCTAAATAAAATTTTCATACATAATTCTGTCCTGAAAATATTGCTGTGAGAAATAAATATGAGATGCTTGAATGACAATAATAGAAAAAAAAAAGGGGGGGGGGGGGGGGAAGAGGGGAAAAAAAGAAAAACAACAATAAAAATGAAGAGGAGACAAAGAGACAAGATGCAAAAAGATTTGGGGCATGTGATAAGCAGATATATTCCAAAAAATTCATTGGCCTTTATTTTTACAATGGTTTTTACACTTGCATTCTTGAATGCATACCAGAACAGCTGTAAAATTGCTGCAAATACATAGAAATGGGTTCCTTGGAGTATTTGTCATCCTGCCAGGGGCAAATCCTTCCAAATTTATTTTAATAGCTAGCAAAATTTGTTATCCATTCAAATGAATATTAACTTCTCCTGCAGGTGTGCCAAGGAGTAACCTGGATTAAATAAACAGATCTAATAAAGAAAAAAATAAAATCTGAGTATTTAGGTTACTGGTACTACATAACTGGATACTACACCACTATTTGTAAGAGTTATTTGTATCCATTACATATAAAGAACCAACTGAGGAAAAACTGGTGATAAAACACTGTGTAGGCATTATGGGGTTCTGATAGTAAAAAGAGAAAAGCATGAGTGGTTTATGATATCTTCAGATTCCCAGGGAACTTGTATACCTGTATCATATTTTTCTGGTTTTGACACTTTCATTATACTATACCACTGTGAGGAGCAACATCATTTTCCTGCATTTATGACTTGTAGTGGCCAGTTTAGACACAGGTTTCGGAGGAAGAAGGTTCCCCATCAGAGCAATATTTTGCATATTTTGCCCATAAAAATGTCTTCTCCCTGCGTGTTAAATCCTAGTGTTGTGGGGGACTGGGGACCCTGAAGATATTTCTTCCAGAATAGCAACACTCCTGAAACTTAAGAGAACTTTAGGGGGGAAAGGAAATTTTTGGTATTTCTGTATTTGAATTTGGTTTTGATACCAATAAAGAGAGTTTATATTGTTTCTGTTTGCAGTGGTGGTATTTCAGAGCATGATTATTATTAATTCAGCTACCATATGAAGAAGTACTGCGTTTTTGGTTTTCAGACGTGTGTCTCACTGTCCAAAGACACAGACCATCCTCTGCTATCAACACCCGGCAGAGTACTGATATCTTTTCAGGACTCCTGACTCAATTTTTGCTCAAGGAGGACATTTCCCAGCAATTCTCGCTTCTCTGCTGGGAGTCCTCCTCGGGAACACCCAAGCACCAGGCGACGGCTAACCTGCAGCCCGTTCCTCAAGATTACAAAGCCAAATTATAGTTTTTTTTAGGTGCAGTTCGCCGGTCTCCCCCCGCCGGCAGCCGCTAGGTGGTAGCAGCACCACGGCCACAAAGCCCCGACAGCGCCGCAGGGCGCGCCTGCAAAATGGAGGCTTGGCGCCTGCGGCTCTGTCGCGACAGGGGCTGGTCGTGGGCAGCCGGCTGTCGCTGGGACGTGGCCCCAGCACCCCCTAGGGAGGCGGCTGGGGGCTGCTGAGGGAAATCAGGGTGGAGAGAGAATAACTATACCCTCTGTCAGGGTATTTCTGCCCCCAGTTACTCATTGTGTATTGCGATATTTAAGTCATCTCATGATGTCGAGGAGGACCCATTTTATGACCCGTTAATGATGTCGAAGATTGAGCTTTATTTTAGCAGTTACAGCTTGCAACCTCAGTCTTGGAAGCTGGCGTCTTCTGTTCGGTGAAACCTGTCACTGGGGACAGTAAACCTGGCCCTTGTTCTGCAGCTGTTTTATGCTTTTATCACCACAGCTATTCACAATCAGTATTCCTTCACAAAGTGCAGTGAAAAAATGGAGCCAGAAGGGCAGGCTCCTGCTTTTCGTCTTGGGATTTAGAGAATACTTAGAACAACAGTGTTAAAAAAAAAAAAAAAAAAAAAGAAAAGAAAAAGACTTAAATTTCCCAACCCAAGTATTACCTGTTGTGTTTCAAAAGACATTTTTCTTTAAAAACTCCCCTCTGTTTTTGCTGTCCCCCTGACTTCTTTAGGTCCTTTATGGTGGTAGGTATACCAAAACAGTATGACAAGGACAGTTTAGAAGATGTCCACTGAGTTGAGCAGCAACTGTTCAATGCTCAGAGTGAAGTGGCAGGATTTTTTTTAATGTCCATGAATAAGTGAGAGAAGGCAATAGCATACTGAAGATTAGTGGGGAATGAAGAAGGATGCTTGCGTGTTCAGCTTATGTGTTGCACAGGGAATAGTGAATAAGACATGGGTCCGTGTGCATTTTCCAGTCATGTATTGCTGAAGTATTTCAAATTATGGGATCTTGTTATTATGCTCTTCTTAAGAGAGCTAGGAAATTACATAAAGACCAGCCATGAGAGTATGTTAAAAGCCCAGATATACTGCTCAGAAGACAGGTAGTGACCAAATTAAAGCATTATCTCAGCCAAACTAATGAGATGCAATTGCAGTGCTGTGTTCAATTACATGATTACTTGGACCAGATCTTCAATGCATATAAATTGCTGTAGCTTTATTAAAGCCGGAATGCACTAACAGAGAATTTGACTCCCTTCCTCGAGCAGAGCAGTTTTCTGGAGAAGTACATTCAATGAGATAGACCATTTTTGGCTTGAACTGAAAGGAGTACTGCGTATAAACTATTTTAATGGCTATTTACCTACAGGTGTAGGAGTTTACAAAAGCTTACCGAGAGCAGTGCACCAGGAAATGTGTTGTTATTATATTTCACCATTAAAGACTGATCATATACTTAGAGACTGTATCATCATCCATATGCACAAGGGGCAGAGCCCTGGAACTCAATTTTGGCTGGCGACTGCCTAACAGTACAGCTTCTACATTCCCTTAATGTGTAATTTTATTGGGCTGCCCTGGAGCCCTCTTTGAATATTATAGCAGCATTTCTTTCATATACCTCTAAAATGCCAGGATGCAAATACAATGCTGCTAATGCCTCAGCCTATTTTGTTTTGCATCAGCAGTTAAGGGGAAAGAAGCTAAATCCAATATTTCCAGCCCTCCCCATACAATTACCTTGATTATGAATACATAACGGTTTTGGATCCCTGTGCTTATTTGATGTGGTTTCCTGTGAGTGTTAAAGGCTGCTTTTAAATGCTGACTGGTTTTCAACAGCCCAGTAGGTAAAAGCACAAGGCAAAGCTACTGACTCGGTCACACCTTCCCTCCAAGAATACAGTCACACCTAGAGGATGCAGTATGGGGCTTAAGTAGCAGATGCCACAAAGCGGACCAAGGTAAACCCTGCACTTGCTGCCATATGCACGTTCCTCCTCTGTGTCTTGTTTTTTTCATCAAAACTTTTTTTGTTGTTGTTTTTTAAACTTCCTGGAGCTTAATTAAGAAACACGACAACTAAGAGAGTTGGCACGAAGCCTCTTTCTCATCCAGCACATGGGCATAGTAGGGTAATTGTAGTTATTTACATTTGGCATCCAGCTGACTGAACTAACTCCACAGTATCTATTTTTTTTTTTTTGCTCTCTCTTGGAGTAGAGAGACTATTAAATTAAACAGGTTAATGTGGCTGCAGCATTTCACCCCCTGCTATCCCCGCAGCCATAGTAAATCTGCCACCTGTTTATTTCCATAAAAATTCAATTACAGCAGCACCAGTTTATTCTTCTTATGTGAGCTGTTAACTTCAGGCAGTACCAGACTCAAAGAAATGCATGGCCCATTCCTTTCCAAAGCTGTTCTTTCCAAAGATCCTCCTTAGCTGCTGGAAGCTTTTTTTTTTTTTTTTTTTTTTGCTTTTTTTTTTTTTTTTTTCTGATGCTGTGCCCTACTCCATGACAGTTAAAAATGAGAGAGCAGATTTCTGCCATGGTGCCTTGCCATGATGGTGCAAAAGGAGAAGCTACATGCACACACACCCACACACACAGCCATCATCCCAAGCAGTGGGTGTGTGCTGTAGGGCCCAGGGGAGAACTTGCTCTGAGACCACAGCAGCAGCAGTCAAAGGAGGTTAGCAAAACAGGCTGATGACTGCTGTGGAAAATCAACATTTTTTTTTAAATTGTGTCTTTGCTCCCTCCCACCCTTCCTCTTTCCCAGCTTTCTCCTATGAGAAACGTAGCTCACGTGGCTGTGATGGGAACCGAGGGTGCACAGCAGGGTACGGAGGGGAAGAGAAGGCACGAAGGAGAGTTGCCTAGCAGGTTTGTTTCATGGTATCACTTCATCTCCTCAGTATCCCCAAGAGAATGATAACACTTCTCCATATTGGATGAAAGATGAGTACCGCTGTTTCATTATTGTTGTTGTTATTATTATTATTATTATTTAATTTTGTGACCACAAAGCCCACCATTCCTGTAGCTCACAGTTTCAAAAGCTATCATGGCCTGTCCCTCCTTGATTTCTGGTGGGAAAAATTACTTGGAAATGTTATTCTTCAATCAGTCTGAACTCTGAGCAGATGCCTGATTTTTTCCATTTCATCACTGCTGCCTCCTTTCCCTCCTCCTTCTTATTTTGTGGTCAAGAGCATTTGCGTCTGCCAAAAGCAACAGTTTTAATGGGGAGCTTGAAGGTCAAAACTCAGAAAGAAACAGCGTGTGACTCAGAAACTGAGTATATATGCTGTCATCCTTGGTTCTGCTATTGCTTGTTAGTACAGGCATTGTGTAAACTAAGGACTCCTTGGTATGTGCTGTTTGCTGGGAGAGCATCACACATTAAGGGAGCAAGAACCAGGGAGCACTGACCAGATAAAACCATTAGGTTTCAAGGCCAGTGGATGGGGTAGCTTAATTTTAAAAGTTGCAATATTTTGGACTTAATAAGAGATTCAGTGGCTTAAATTCTCTTGTCTCATGTTGTGCTGTGCCTTGGGGCACTGCAAGTGGTCTCTAAGTCTGATTTCTCTGTCACTCCCTCAGTAACAGCATTTGGCAGAGGCACAGGCTACTCTGCGCTGAGCAATGAAGGAAGACTCGGGCTTGTGGAGCTAAGAGAGACTAGATGTAGTAACTATGTAACCATGGGGGAAAAGTCAAGTATTTTCTTCAGAAAATCTCCTGCTACCAGAAGAACATGGACTTATAAAAATGTTGACTACTGTTGCTGCATTGTTATTTTTGTTTGTTACAACTGCAGACCCTCACACCTTGCAAATGTTCTCAGACTTGCTCATTCAGCCTGAAGAGAGTCAAGAGGACATGCTCACACACTGCCTTGTTATAGGTGCCCCTTTCCATTGCACCTGTCTGTAAGCGATTGATCCTACTTTTCATGAAAATTTTAGTTATAAATCAGTGGTGCTTAATTTGTAAGGGAAATCTGGATCACATGGATATTTTTCCAATAACAAATTATACAGTTTTTAGCTTGTGTGTTCAAGAGCCCTCAAGACAAAGAATGTGCCTCCTTTCATATACTTTTCTGAATTTTGCATAATTACTTACTATTTATGAACAAGGCATTGCTCAGGTAGTGTTACTTACACTAACAGTCTTTGGAAATCACCATATTTTTTTCCAAATTTAAATTTGGGATCCTGATAATGTTTTCAAAGTACATTTAAAAGATCAGGGATAAGTTATGTTGTGGTATTTTTTCAGAACCAGACATGGATGCTTTGTCAAAGCAAACTATTTATCTTAAACACAGCTAAATACTTAGTTTATTTATTATTATTATTATTATTATTATTATTATTATTATTATTATTATTATTATTATGTCTGGTTAGATTCTTCCAAATAAAATTCTAATGAATTTGTTCTGTCACGACTATCATCTTAGGCAAACTTCAACAACCAATTCATGCCTATGCTTACATGTAAAAATGGTAATTGATTCAAGTAGGGATTCTTTACACACCAGAGTTCAAGTTTGCCTGCTGGTTCAAGGATTTGCATTCATGTCAGTAAATGTTTGTGCAGGAAGGAGTTCTTGGCAGGAATCATAGCGTCAGAATCTAGTCTTTCTGCAAAATACGGGATAGCAAATTTTTTGCTGTTACTGAGCAGTAAGGGCTCATTTACAAAGGGTGTTTTCCTCTTCCTGCAGGGTAACCTGACATGGCATAGACTTTTATAAAACTATGAGAATCTTGAAGCTATGTTATTTGTATTAATTTGCCACAAGCTATATTAGAAAGATTATCCAGAAAATTATTTAAAAAGCAAAGAAGAAGGGTCATTTTCCAAGTCTTTCACATGTCAGATTTTGACATTTAATTGCCAGCTTTAATATCAGTCCTTCATAAGGTTGAATAATGTTCTTGTTGCTTTCCCACTATGTGTCATTGTGGTAGAGGGGACATTTCCTTGAGCAAAGGAAGTATGCCTGGATGCTGCAGAGGAACAAATGATCAGCTAGCCCCACAGAGCTTAAAAAACCCCAAATGATTTCCAAACATTACACCTACACTGTCATCCCTGTTGAAATGCGATCTTCTTTAGAATAAAACATGACAACTCTTCAATGCAAAAAGTTGAATGGAGATTCTAGGAGTTATAGCGAAGCAGCATGTAGTTACCCAGACTAACTTACAGTTAAAGGAGCCAGCTTCCCATTTTATCCTAGAGAAACTCTTTTTCATCGTGAAGAGTGCTACAACTTAGTCTTGCCTTTTGTTTTTATTTTTATTTTATTTGTTTGTTGTATTGTTATGTTTTGATCAATTCCTTTTTGAACACCATCCTTTTAGGTTCTTTTTATGAAAATGGGGATGTTAATTTATCCTGCATAACTTCCTGGGGGATTATTAATAGATATTACAGAATGGAAAGCTGCTACTATTTATTGCCACTATGATTCCTCTGGCTTCCTGTAGGAAACATTCCTTCCGATTAACTTCCACTCAAATTTATTTATTTCCAGTGTACCACATACATCTATTATTTGCTGTCTGCATCTTCTTCACAAGGAAAAAATTCCTTTTCTTTTTTTTTTTTTGGTACATATTTGCTTTTAATGAATCCACACTGAGTAGATTTATTTATGTATAATTTAGTCTTTTACTTTTGTGGGTAAACAAGGTTCAATGCTCAAAGAAGAAAGTGTGATTATGCAAGGGATATTGCTGAGATCCTAAGCACTGGCCTGGTGAGTAGGTGGCTTCCATCCAAAATGGAGCAACTAGGACATCCAGAAGAAAGAACATCATAACATCCTCAGCAGGTTTTCCGTGTGTGTGTGTCCACAATGATTTTGAGCTTGCTTCTTATCTCTAAACAGATTATTTTGAAAAGAGAATGGTGTTTTCTCTCTTGACCATGTCTACAAAACAAAGATTGATTTTCCCAGATTAGACAAAGAGAATACAATCAATGTATTCTCGACACAGTTTATCAACAGTCGAAAAAATAAAAGAAGCCTTGAAATTGTTGCATTCACAAATCAAGAGCAAGACAGTAACTTACCAACAGTTCACTGATGACCCTTAACTGTCCTGTCAGAGCTGTCACAAAGGTAACCCGATAAACATAATGCCAGAGAAGGATGTCTAACTAGCTGGGAGCACCAAGACATTCCTGATAAACTCAGTGAAACCTCATTGATGAGGTGTAGCTGGCAGGACAAAGAAACCTTGATGGACTCAGAACAAAGAAGATGTGGTAATGAACTGACCTCCAAGGAAAACAGGAGTCAGCAGGAAAACAAGAGTTCTAGGAACTGAAGTCCTGTGGCCCACTTATGCATCTATGCAAAAAAAAAAAATAATAAAAAAAATAATAAAGAGTGTCATACTAGTAACACCTCATATAACTTGTATATGTAAAGGTGTGCATACAGGTAAATGGTCATAAATATGTACTTGCTTCACTAGTTAGAATTCTGTAGTAACTTGTGATATATGCTTGCTTTACTCTTCTGTATATAGTTGCTTTCCTAGTGGTAATGTTGTGGTACGTGTAAATATGTATTTGTTTTGCTAGTAGTAATCTGTAACAAAGGAATTCATGGAAGCTAGGTCTTTGTGTCCTTGTGCATTATAGATGCTTACACACCCACGGCTGTGAAATTTATACACCTGTGGGTCTTGTGACCCTCACAAGTTGTGGCCACAACATGTCCTTATACATGTAACTTGAAATTCAAAAATATAAAAAATCATCAGTAGTGAAAAAGCTAAAGCTTGAATGACTTATTACAAACATTTTAAAAATGCAAAGTACATGCATAAGGAGAGGAACCATACTTTTTTTCCTCATCTTTTTTTCTCAATTTTAGTTACATTAGTTAGCAGAAGGTATAAGAACAGGTAAAATATTTCCATTAGAAATAACTTTCCTAATTTGATTTTGTATGTAAATGTGAAATCAATGAACTTTGAAGCAATGAAGGAAAAGGTGGAGTTTCCAAACTGGTGTTATCCCCATGATTTTAAGAGTTATTCTTGTTCCTGTTAGCTTTAAATTGTATTTCAAGAAAATTTGTTTTAACAATCAGTGAAGAAAAAAATTGATGAGCATTTACAGCATCATCCACTCCACACTTTCTTTTTGTGAGGAGCAGATGCCACTGTTCTTCTTAAAGAGTAAATGTGAATGTACAGGTGAAAGGTTGCTTAGAAGAGCATCCAAACAGAGTATCCCATCCAAACAACTGTGGGATGACTGACAGCTCTAACAAATAACCACTGACAGCTAGAACCTGGGGTGTTTGCAGGCAACATCAAAGTGTCAACAGCCTGGCAGAGCTTGTCTGTCACTCCAGAGGGAGCTAATATGTTCTGAAACTTGTGAGCTTTAAGGGGTAATGACAAGAAAGACAGTCTAGGAGGTCAGTTCCCCTGTGTGTCCCCTCAGGACAAGATGCAGGCTAAACTCCATGTTCCTGTAAGTTTTTTTGACCGGAACTTGATGGAGGTATAAGGATGAGCAGTGACACAGAGGCCTGGAATTAGTGGTTTTGTGTTTTAAGATGGTTGAATTTCACTATTTGGAAAGTAGGTGTGCAGCTGACCCCAGAAGTGCAGATAGCACCTGGTAATTTCTCTCTCTCTCTCTCTTTCTACTCTCTCTCTTTCTTACATTTCATGAGAAGGTTTCTGTCAGCAGTAAGATTCCTGACGTAATTAAACTGAACAAGTGATTCCTGTGTGGTCTTCAGCAGAATTGATGGATTCTGCTGGTCAGCTGGGGGCTAATTAGCCTCTCCCATCCTTCACTGAAGTAAGGACTAAGTCAACTGACACAACAAACCTGTACAGTTTTAAATAATTAAATGAGTAAATAGTCTCTGCTTTTTAATTGGCTAGGTAAAATGATCAGTAAACTGGGTTGATGGTTCATGGCTGTGGTTAAATCCACAGGAGGAGCTTATAAAGCTTCAGAGGACACTTTTTCACTCAGGTCTTGCTCCTGTTCCAGAAGGAAGTGATGATGTACTTCTGTGGCTTCTGCTTTTACAGGCTATGTGGCAAGACAACAATAGCGGGAGACGGTGAGTGCTGTTATGGCATGGATTTCACCAGCACTGCAAGCAGGAGGTACGGTAGGAAATCATTAAATTGTTTATTAAGTTTGTTTCCTCTGTTAAGGAAACACTTTTGGGAAGAAGTTCTCAAATTCCTGGATGGTCACCAGGGAAGATATCAATTTGAGGCCAGGCACTGTTCAACAGATGGAGTAAATACAACCAAAAAGTCTTTTTCAACTACAGTTTAGAAATGTAGCCCCAAGTGATGTCTTAAGTGTCAAATTTGTACTGAATTTGAGTGGGTTTTTAAAGTGAGTATCCTCAGTGATTTCAGTTGCCTTAGGGTGTTGTATAATTTAGCATTTATCTACCTCTATTAATTTGTCTGAGGGTGGGATGTGATTATGACCTTTGTTTCATCTAGTCAACTTCTTCTACAGTGTGTAGAGTCAAAGCTGATTATGGTGGTAGGCTTTGAGGTATTCAGGATAAAGAAGTGTCATCTGTTCTGGGGGAAACATAAGTCCTGTCAACGAGGAGATAAGCAACTCCCAGAACTCAACATTCTGGTTACCTTCTTTAGATCAAATCTGGAACGCTGTTCTGGTTGTGCTTTACAGACATAATCCATGTTAACATGGTATGATTGCTGTGCATTGTGGGACTATCCTGAAAGCTGCTGGAGATATTTCTCCCTGGCAAGTTTATCTCAATGATAGCATGTTGTATAAATGCATGTGCTATGAATATGTTGTGGCTTTTGAAGCTGAAGTGATAATTGGTCCTTTTGAAGTTAGTGACAATTAGTCTAATGGCTGTTTAGTTGGAAATCCCTACAGTTTTTGTGAACATAGATGATTTTTAAACCTTGAACTCTACTTTCTGCCCCAATTTCTTGCACTGTTCTTCTTGGTATTGATGGTGAATATTTTTAATTCTGCTTGTTGTCCTTTTGTTTTAACTTAGTAAAATATATTGCAAAAGGTGTATTACAGATATACTCCTGTTTTCTTTAGACATCTGCCACTGAGATCTGTGTTTTCATTCTTGTATTTCTTTATCTATCAAAACTAGCTGCAAAATGCTATTAAACTAGGCTCTTGATCAGAGGGAGAGTGTCAGGGAACATTTTACTTCAGTTACTTCCATGAGACAAATGTGACGCAAACTGAAGTAATTTATCTCTGTTGCAGAGCAGAACTGGCAATCTATTGTGGTAGACAGGAGTTGGATGAGCTGGGCAGTTGTGTTGTGCTAAAGGATCTCTTGGGAAAACTCCTGCTTTGGTGCTGGCAATAAAAGTCATGTCAGTACATCTGACAATAGTACATGCACCCTACTGGTGATATAAGACTCTTGTCCAAAGACCCAGAGTGTAGGCAAACCATTTTAGGGTTCACCCATTAAGGAAGGATTGACTACTAAGTAGAATCAGATGTGCGGGAAGGCATGAATGGGTGTATTTTGCAAGCAATAGGTAGGTAACAAAGACTGAAATGATGAAAAGCATGGATACTTAGTTTTTCATGTGGTCAAGTTGTTGGAAGGGGTAGCAGAGGGTCAAAGCTAAAGTTCATTATAATGGATCTAAGAGACTAGAAGGAGCACCACCAGATATCCAAAAAGCTTTATACTAAGAGAAACATTGGCTTTGCTCTGCAGGGCCGGAGAAAGCCTTTTGGACTAGGACTGATTATCTGGAATTTCTTTTGCCTTACCTTTTATGCTATTTTTTGTTAGCTAGGTTGACTTTTAGGCAAAATTTGGGCTGTGTGTGTGAGGCATGCAGTTCTAGTCTTTTTTTTTTCCCTCCTGGTATTAACAGATAAACCTATTTGTGATGAAAAGTTTTTATTTGTGTAACACATAAAAGAGGAGATTCTTTTAAAATGTGTCTATGGTATCCAAACTGTAGAAGGATTTATCCTGACAGATTACTGCAACTAAAAGTAAAGTATAGGTGACACTATGTCAAATATCTTTTCATCCAAGGAAGTGTTTACATTAAAAAAAAAACTTGATTGGATATTTTTGATTGGAATTATTTTTTTCTTCCTGGGGAAGATGAGTTAAACTGTACTCTATAGTACCCCAATAGGGTGCATGTTAAGAAAGACCTAGTACGAGGTCCTCCTCATCTAAGCTGTATCACTTACTGCAGTGTGTTTTCATAATGCTAGCTGTGGCCTTGGAGCAAGACTGTTGCATCATGGAGGCTTGTGTAATAGAAAATGCTTTGTGAGAGATCTGGTGTAAGCAGAGAGCCTGTCTCACTTCAAAGAGCAGGGCTTCCAAACAACTGCTCCTGCAAGGCAGTGCTACATTAGAGAAATGTGGAAAGTACTTCTGTGAAGCCTTCTGTGGCAAGTCATGCTGAAGGGATGTGTTTTGACAGTGAAAAATGAAGATGCCTGTTCAGACTGAAATAAAGAAAATGTTTTCTCTAATTTCAGGATTTTAAATTTATTTTGTATTCATGTGAAAACAAAAGCAAATGAAAAGCTGCTGAAATGCTTAGCTTTTCCCTCTATACAATTAGAATGAGTATTGCTTTACTGTGGGAAGTGTTCCTTTAAGTTCATTGAAATACAGTGACTGGATCTTTCTTCTCAGCACTTCAGTAGGATAGCCAGGTATCTATTTCAAACTTATTTCAACAATAGTCTAAACACATGGCATAGAACATTATTTATAAACATGGTTTTGATACTAGAATTGTGTTGATAACCCCTTTTAATGGATTTTGAGGATCTGTGAGGAAAATTAGTTGTTTGCACATTTCTGACATTTGAACCTGAAGTATTTTTGTAAGTGTTCTGATATCTCATCTTAGGCAACCAAGAGAGAACTACTTGGTCATGAAAGGATAAGGGTATACTAGCTTGGCTCCTACTATTAATACAAATGTCAGTGCTATCTGCCAAATATGGGGAAAAAAGAACACACTATTAACCACTATCTGTTTTCTGAATAATTCAGACAGTAGACTACTGCTTTCAGTTGTTGTTCACTGAATGTTTCCACAAGAAAAATGATGATGACTGCCACTAATAGATGATAGAAAGGAATGAGTTTGGATTAAGAGTGTCCCGAGTATCCTAGAGATACTCCTGTTTGAGACATGAAAGCACTGCCTTCTTGACAATTTTATTGCTGGCTTCCTGATTAGAACTGGCAGGTGGCAGCACTTAACTGATTAAGTTTTTTGGCTTTTCACTTTTTTAGGGAGGTACTGGGGGGATTTAAATGACTCTAGAATTTAACCCCAAGCATAACTAGTTGGCTATATGAAGCTTGACTTTTTAAATAAAATTAACCTTAAGTCTGTGTGGATTTCTTCTCCTTTTCTTTTCTATTTAATCAGTTATTAAAAGATGTAAATTCTTGCTTGAATGAATTCTACCTCAGGCTTACAAATTAAGGGACTGAAAATGAACAGATGAATGAGAACTGGCATGACAAATGTTATTTATGTTAACTTTTTACATTCCAGTTAACTGATCAAATGCAGGCTAAAAATTACAGGGTACTGTACTGACGGAACAGCAGAATGAAAACTAACTTGAAAAAAAAAAGGGGCAAACAAGTGTATTGGATATATTAATACAATATTAGAAGGTGCTTTGAGGTCAAATGTTACTTTAACTGTCAGCTCTGTAGGATGTTTTTAGATACTGTTGAAGTCACAAAAATAATAGGCAAGGCATGTAATGTTCTGGGATGTTGAGATCTTAACTTTACAGGTAATTATTATGATCCGGTTAGTGATGGAGAACTTAAATATAAGACTCATCCAGGAAATTGCACTGTTGTGGTATCAGGGTATGGAGCTGTGAAAGGGAACTAAGCTGTCTTATGGCTTTGCAAGACATCCTTTCCAGCTGGAAAGATTTGGAAGTACTTGAAAGAGTGTGCGTTCTCTCAGGTTATAGTGCCTGAAAGCTTCAGGAAGCTGTGAAACGCTGTGGGGGAGCCTCCGAGTGTCCTCTCTTCTGGTTCCTGTACAGCCAAATGGTGCTGGCTGGGAGATGCCTGGAGTGATAAGATGGATCTGTTGGTTTGGAATATACAGGTTGGGCTATTCCTGAAGAAGGAAGACAGCTTTTCTGGCAAACCTGTGTTTCTGCACTACCTAAGTGCTTTTTCTGGGGAATAAAGTGCCCATAGTCTTCCAGAGTAAAGAAGCATCTGTCCTGAAGAGATCTGTGTATGTGGCATGTAATCTGTCTCCTTTCTTAAGTATGAGCTTGAACTGTTGATGGCAAACTTCTGTTGCCTGTATTGTATCTACTTTTTGGTTTGAGAGCTCTAGTTACAATGACTGTTTAAACTTTATACAAACAACACACTTACGTAGCAACAATGAGCTCTATTAAAACCACTTTTTTTTTTGTTTAAGCACGAGGTATTCTTTCTCCTTTGCATTTGATTTATACAGAAGCATCCTTCCAAATTTACTATATTTTACACCCCTGTAGGTGAAAATTTTTAAAAGACTATTTCTCATTAGTTGTGAAGTAGCCTTAAAAATCAAAGGGCAAAGCACCTGCAGAAAAACTTCGTAATTTTAAAGCAAGATGTTTTTGCTTTTTGTTAGATCTTATTCTTATCTGTCATTATTTATCAGCTTGTCACTTATTTAAAAGGTATACTACATGATGTTCTTATAATGATCATTTAAAAACAAACTTTCAATTCATTGATGGTTCAGTCATCACCATAGAGTTTTTATTCTTTGTAAGTATTTTCAAAGCGGCCCAAAGGTAAGAGATTTGTAGAATCAGTTTTCCCTTCTCTTAATTTGGATGTGATTGCAGTGATGGGGTGTGTGTTAGGACAGAAGTAGGTAGCAGCACCTAAAAATAGTGCACCCACACAATGAATACTATTAATAGTAAACTACATCAGGTTGGTCTGTGAGAAGTTGTTAGCTCTTCCCACTGAGATCACTCTCAATGATACCTCATCAAGTGGTTGTGTGCAAATTACTTGGTGATTACTAATGCAAGAGTATTTTGTAGATA